GACACTCGTCAGTAACTTTTAGGGACAAAACCATTAAACTAAGAAAAATTAAACAGGGGGTACCACAGGGTGGTGTCTTATCCCCACTATTGTTTAATTATTACATTTCCAGGCTCCCTCAACCACCAACGGTTATCTCGCCGAGCTTTCTCGCTTCTTCACTGCAAGGAGCCTTGCCCTATGTCCTGCGAAATCCTCGGCAACCCCTACCTAACACCTGGACGACGGAGGTCTGACTACAACTAGGTATTCACGTCGGTGGGGTAACAATACCTACGGTGAATAACCTCGAAATTCTTGGAGTCACCTTCGACAGTCTGCTCTCCTTCTCGCCGCATACAACCGCAATTGTGGACAAAGTACCGAGCCGCAACAATGTCCTCAAGTCGCTGGCCGGCAGTACTTGGGGCAAAGACAAAGAAACGTTGTTGGCAACATACAAGGCGATTGGCCGGCCGGTTCTAAACTATGCAGCGCCCGTGTTGTCGGCTGGGATTAGCAGGACGCTGTGGATGAAGCTAGAGACCTGCCAGAATACGTCACTTCGGATAGAGAAAGGATGCTTCTTGATGTCGCCACAACACCACCTGCACGAGGAGGCCCACATGCTCCCAGTCAAGGAGCATGGTTTTATTTTTTTGAGAAAGAGATGTTGCGAAAAAAGTATTTTATTGGTAATTTTTCACAGATTTTACTTTAGTTGTATTAATAAGTTTTTAAATTGGAACCCTCATTACATTTGCCAGCAGTGTAAACCTTGAGAAAAAAGGTTCATTTGGCACGCAGGTCTTCGTCAGTTAATTTGTTCCATATCTTCTGTAACCATAGGCTAATTTTCTCCATTTTGAGTCTCAAAGCTTACACTGCTGACAAATGTAAATAAGGATTAAAATTTAAAAATTAATTAATACAGCTAAAGCAAAATCTGTGGAAAATTAACAATAAAATACTTTTTCGCAAAATCTATAAAGGACCCTTTTATTTCTCAAAAAAACCTGGGTAACAGATATTCGTCGCCACGCTGTAAACGGGTATCTACGAGCTTTCTCGCTTCTTAGCTGCTAGGAGCCTTACCCTCTACCCTACAAAATCCTCCGCGACCTTACTTACCACCTGGACGAAGGAGGTCAGACTACCGCTGGGTATTCACGTTGATGACACACCAATTCCGACGGTGAATAACCCAAAAATACTTGGAGTAACTTTTAACAGTCTGCTCTCCTTCTGTGCGCACACAACCGCAATTGTCAACAAAGTACAAAGACGCAACAAGATCTTCAAGTCGCTAGGCTGCAGTACCTGGGGCAAGGACAAAGAAACGTTGCTGGAAACATGCAAGGCAATTGGCCGGCTGGTTCTATATTACGTAACACCTGTGTGGTCGCTGGGACCAGTAGGACGCAGAGGATGTAGCTGCGGAAAGCACAAAATACAGCAGTTCGGACAGCGACCGGATGTCTTCTGATATCGCCAGAACCTCACCTACGCAAATGCTCCCCATAAGGGTGCACAAAACAATGCTCTGCAAGCAATCCTTAGAAGGGAGCCACAGACATACCCATGACAGCCAGTTCTCGTACCGGAATGACTCGTTTTACCCGACCAAGGGCTGTTGTTTCGGCGATCTAACCCCGTTTAGGTCGGCGAAATCCCTCAAAAGTTGTACGTCTATAGGGCTACTTCTTCTTCGCATACTTCTGCTCAGGGCTGGCAATGAGTCAAACCCTGGACCAGAAACATATACCTGCTGCGTGTGTCACAGACGATTACAACACAACTCCACCTCCGTCAGATGCAATACATGCAATGGGTGGAGCCATTTCCGAGTTTGCTCAGCCCTCACGACTCACAGGAAATGCACCACTGCGTACGTGGCCCCTTGCCGCGCCAATCGAGCTGCCTCCACGGCTCAACAGAGTCCGCCTGAGCCACTCAACACAAACACAACCGCACCACAACACAATACAATAGACAATACCACAGACACAACAGACCACACCACAGATACAACTGCACCACCACCCACACGCCACCGCCAACAACTCCTAGTTCCTCCGACAATCTGCAAGGTATGCCAGTCCAGGATATTCCGTAATGGGACATCAGTCAAATGCAACACCTGCCTTCAATACTGTTGAATTGCGCCGGATACAACAATAGTCAGCGCTGGTCTGATAAACAGCGTATCATGGCGACCTATTCTGACTTTAGCATCAGACCATCTGCCCATAATCATCTCGATTGATAAACCAGCCGACTTTGTCAACTTTTCTAAAGCTGATTGGAAAGGCTTCGCGGATGTTACTGAAGCGCCTTCGCTGCACTACCCATACCAACCGACGTTCACGTAAGTTCCCTCTTCATCCCAGCGGGATGCATCTCGGACCCTCGTCCGAATCTTCCTGCAGAAGCGGCTGTCCTAGCCGATGAGCCCTACAACCTTCGTCAGGCCGATCCCGGAAATCCCCGCATTAGGGATCTTAACTCGGAGATTCAGCAACTTAAGAACGTACATAAGCGGAAGAAGTGGGAAGAGCATCTGAAGACCTGCAACTTCGCCTGAGGTGTGAGTAAGCTTTGGTCAACCGTGAGGTTATTGTCCAACCCGACGAAGTGTGACGACAGAGTTGAAATAGACTTTGGTGNCAGACTCCAACTGGGAATTCACGTCGATGATACACCAATTACGACCGTGAACCACCCGAAGATACTCGAAGTAACGTTCGATAGTCTGCTCTCCTACTAGGACTAGCAGGGCGCAGTGGATGAAGCTACAGACCTGCCAGAATACGGCACTTCGGACAGCGACAGGATGGTNCTGCAACTTCGCCTGAGGTGTGAGTAAGCTTTGGTCAACCGTGAGGTTATTGTCCAACCCGACGAAGTGTGACGACAGAGTTGAAATAGACTTTGGTGAACACGCTTCGACGGACCCGGAGCGATGCGCGAGCTATTTTAGCTGGCAGTTCATCCTGCATCCTCCGGTGGATAAAGCCAAACGTCGAGTGACCAGAAGGCTGCACAAACTGCCAAAACAAGGTGCGTCTCTTGTTTTCACCAGCGGTGAGGTAAGGGTAGCCATCGGGAAGGCGAAGAAAGCCTCCAAAGCCATTGGACCCGACGGAATATGCATGCTGATGCTGAAAAATTTTGGCCCTACTGGAGTAGCGTACCTAACGGAGGTCCTCAGCTTGTCAATGGCCACTCTCGACATTCCAGACATCTGGAAGATGGGGAGAGTGGTCCAACAAAGGAGAGCCTTATCGTCCGAAAACCCTCTCCACAGTAGCGAAGACGCTAGAGGCCATGCTACTATTGTACTTTACAAACCACCTGTCCCCAGCAAAGCATCAGCATGGGTTCCGTAAAGTACACAGCACAACAACAGCACTTAACGCCATAAATACCCAGATAACTCGTGGCCTAAACCGAAAGCGCCCCTGTGAGAGAACCATTCTAATAGCGCTGGACCTGTCTAAGGTGTTCGACACTGTCAGCTATTCAACGCTACTAGAAGACATAGAGGCCTCCTCTCTCCCGCAGGGATTCAAACGGTGGTCGGCGAATTATCTGAGTGGTCGTCACTAGTCAGTAACTTTTAGAGACAAATCGAGCAAATCGAGGACACTAAAACAGGGGGTTCCACAGGGTGGTGTCCTTTCCCCATTACTGTTTAACTTTTACAATTCAAAGTTCCCTCAACCACCAGAGGGAGTCTCGATTGTCTCTTATGCTGACGATTGCTCGATCATGGCGTCCTGGAATGGAATTGATTACTTGTGCTCGAAAGTAAACTGTTATCTCGCCGAACTTTCTCGCTTCTTCACTGCACGGAGCCTAAACCTCTCCCCTACAAAATCCTCAGCCACACTTTTCACCACCTGGACCAGACTCCAACTGGGAATTCACGTCGATGATACACCAATTACGACCGTGAACCACCCGAAGATACTCGAAGTAACGTTCGATAGTCTGCTCTCCTACTAGGACTAGCAGGGCGCAGTGGATGAAGCTACAGACCTGCCAGAATACGGCACTTCGGACAGCGACAGGATGGTTCTTGATGTCGCCGCAACACCACCTGCACGAGGAGGCCCACATGCTCCCATTTAAGGAGCATAACATAATGCTCTGCTGGCAGTTCCTGGTTGAGAGCCACAGATGTGGCCGTCCAAACAGGCAACTCCTTGCAGAAGGGCCTTCGCCCAGGCACGTCAGGAGGCATCTCTACGAACTGACGGACGAAGTCCAGAGGTTCAGCAAACAAGACAGGCCCTGAGCGGCATTCATAGGGAGTCAGTCTCAAGTTACATAGCCTCCAGACCTGTGAATGCCATTATGGGCACACAACCACCTGACAGACGTAGCTTCGTCTGCCTCGGGAAACTCGGACCAACTTCGCTCTAGCTACTGCAGCAGATTGAACTCATAACTGAGCAGATTAGATGCACATGTGCCAAATGAGTGTCCGGCATGCGGAGAGGCACCTCACGACTCGAAACATCTTTTCGCATGCCCGGAAAACCCCACACAACTAACGCCTTTGTCTCTGTGAACAGACCCTGTATAGGCTGCACGCTTCTTGGGTCTTCCGTTAGTTGAGCTTGACAACAACGACTAAGATACTAACCGATACGGGCGGGGTTGTTGTAGCCGCTACAACAACGACAGCAACGGTCACACGGTCTAACAAATGAAATGTGAGCAAAACTGTCGATTTTGATCGCCAATGTGTACCACACAATATGTCGGCTGACTTAACAGGCGACCACAAAAATTTTCGATTGTGTACATCAGAAACGAACGTCATCGTTTTAAAAAAATCACCCGCCTCTGATATATTTCAGTAGCCGATTCGGTGAGGGTCGCATGGCAAATCACAACTTCTAAATGCATTTAACAAATTTTAAAAATTATGTTGTTTTTAAACGGTTTGAGTTTTATATAATTCTCAAACTCTTGCTAATTACACATCAAATGTCTTATTTGTGTTTTCGTAGGTCCTCCAATTAAAGGAGAAAATATATGATGAACGCGGACCGGAATACGTTGTTGAAAAGCAAAAGCTTATATATGCAGGTGGGTTTAAATTAATCTGCACCTACATACATAAGTTCAGAAAAATATCAATGAAATTATTATATTTTTAAATAGGTGTTATACTAAAGGATGAACGGACCATAGCTTCATATAATGTAGAGGAAAAAAAATTTGTCGTGGTAATGCTCAAGCGAGATGTTGGTAATTACTCACAAAAGCCAGACGATGGCGCCTCATCCACATCTTCTGAAACTCCATCGACCCCTTATAGTGAAACTTTAAAAGATACTCCGAAGAATAAAGATGAAAAGAAGAAAGTATCCAAAGAAAAAAGTGGTGGAAATGGAAGCTGTCATGAAGAGACGAAGTCTGCAGGCAGTGGTGGTAGCGGCGGTAGTGATGACAGTGACGGCAGTGGTGAAGCTAGAGCTGTTTTAGAAGCTGTAGGCAGTAATACCAGCATCTTGTCTACTGGTTCGACTACTTCTCTTTTGTCGCGCAGCAGTGGTGGTTCCGATAGTTCTGAAACTAGCCATAGTACATACTCCAGTGGTGATCTTGCCGGCGTCTTCTCAAACACGTCTTTGCAATCACGTGCTGAATCTAATTTACTCATGGGTGAAGAGTTCAATCGTACAGTCGAATCCATGATAGAAATGGGTTATTGTCGTGAAATGGTTCTACGCGCTTTGGCAGCTAGTTTCAACAATCCAGAACGGGCAGTAGAGTACCTTATTAGTGGTATACCCGACGCACCAGAAGAATTTAATGCAGCCTCAGCAGCTGTCGCGGCTATTGGGGAAAGTGTTTCAATGCGTAGCATCGCCGCAAGCAATGAAGACAATAACACTTCTCAAGGAGAAGCAGCTTATCGACCAAGTGGCGGCGAGAGCGTCGGTCCCAATCCAGTGGCTAGTGGTGACAACTCAACTACTCACCAAGGCGAAGGTCGCTGTGCAGACCTAAGCCCTGCTGGAAGTCAACAAGGACCAGGTGCTACTGAAGAGGGTAATCTTGAGAGGCAAATAAAATTAATGATTTTTAATAGTTCCGTCTGCGTTTTTTAGATCCTTTTGATTTTTTGCGCAACCAACCGCAGTTTGTGCAGATGCGTTCCTTGGTGTGCGAAAATCCGGACTTATTGCATGCAGTTCTGCAACAGGTAAGTGTAAATGCTATTAAAGCAGTGTTTTTTTTATGCGTATACGTATCTACGCTTGAAATACTAAGCGTCAGCTTAAGCGTATATGTAAATACGCGCTAAAAGAAACGCGACTACTATTGTACCTACTGGTTTAATCTTAATGGCGTAATAAATTTAGATAGGACATACTAATCCTGCTCTACTACAACTAATATCGGAAAATCAAGATGCTTTCTTGAGCATGCTTAATCGGCCAATGGAACGACATTCTGATGACACTAGTCCTAGTCACCAATATCCACGTCGTATGACACCAGGGCGACGTGCACAACTAGCAGCTGCGGCGCGTGCTGCAGCCGGAGGGGATGGCTTTCATGTTCATGCGCTGGATACTGCCCCAGGTGCTGGTGGGGATGGCCCTACAACACGCGAACATCCTACAGATGGTGGCGATGCGGGAGCTGACAGCATTCTACGTGAGATTTTGCCACCTCGCACAGACAGAGCAGCAGAGCGGCGTCGTGCTATTGCCGAAGCCTTCATGCGGGAAAGAGCTGCTGCTGCTGCTGAAGTGGCTGCATTAATTGCTGCTCCTCCTGCTATTGCTTCTTCGAATTCTACTGCTGCTGCTCCTACCGATTCTGCTGGCACTTCTATCGCCGTTCCGCATGATACGGGCTCAAGCGTAGGTGGCAATACAAACATACCTGTAACAGAAACTGTGTCTGTTTCTGAACCACCTGTTTTGGAGAGAACCGCCGATGGCCAAAGTTCTTATGTTATTCGTCTAACTGCAGAAGATAAAGATGCTGTTGAACGCGTAGGTGTTAATACACTTTACTAATATTATTATTTTCTGTTGACCACCCTTTCTTTGCAGCTTAAAGCTCTCGGATTTGCAGAAGCACTAGTATTGCAAGCATATTTTGCTTGCGAAAAAGATGAGCAATTAGCTGCAAACTTCTTGATATCTACATCATTTGATGACTAGAAAGAGATACCAGAAATCTAAACAAAATCAACTAATTTTTAAGCAACACCTGCTATGTCATATGATTAACGACAGCACTGAATTCGTTTCTCATGATTTGTTTTTTTTTTTCTTGTATTTAAACTGATCCTCCGCTCTTTTGTAAATAAACGTGTTGAAATTTGAACTCTTTTCGGCTTCCTCTACTTATGTAATAGCGGAGCGCTATATGGAAGCAAATGCGACAAAAAATTCTAAAAAAACTTAAACTTGGGTTATTATGGGTTTTGTTACAGGATGAACTGTATTTTAATTGAAAATTCCTAAAAACAAATAAATAAACATGAGTGGGAAACAATATCACTTTGAAATGGGGGGGGTATTGTATTGAACCATACTGTATATACCGAATAAAAGTCAGTACTTGATGGCATCATATGTATCTCTTTAACATTTTCCTTAATTCCTTGTTTTTTTCAAAATATCGCTATATATCCTCTGATTTCATTTAGATTTTTTTCTTTATATTGGAGAGGAAAAAATGTGCTGATTTGTCAAATATTTCTTACACCATATTTGTCATACACCATGTAAACTGGAGAGATTGAAATACTTAATAAAACCGAGTTATTTCAGTATTTAATAGTAAATTTATCAAGTAGCACAGAACTTCAGCATTATTTTTTATTCCAACGGAATCAATTTCTAGTCGCTTTAATTAAACATACTCCTGAATTTTCAACACGCCTATTTTCTTCAGTTTGTATATGGGGCTTTAGTTGAATCCATAGTAGTCCAATTTTTTTCAAGTATACTATGTTCTCAGCTATTTGGATTCAGTGAATTTCACGAAAATCGTATCTGCAAGATTTCGATTAAAAGTCGAATATTGCCTCGTACTGCATTGCATGTAATGCTGTACAGTGAAAATTAATACGATGTACATATACATATTCCACTCGCTGTATATTTGATGGATTAAGTTATATATACTATAAACATATTTTAAACAAAAGGCATGCATTATTATACTCTTGAAAGCGAACCTTCCGATTTTTAATAGTAGTTGCTATCTTAAGCACCACCCCAACAACTAAATAAGCATTGATTTTTCGTTCAACCAGAAGCTATTATATTAAAAATGTTTTGATTTTACTTCAGCTAGCGGAGAAACTTAATGAAAGTTTTTCCTTGTGCCTGCAGATAACTTTTTTGTTATTGTTCAACTGCATGGACTAAAAATCTTTCAAAATATACTAAAGAGAACCATACACCACAAAAGCTAAACGAAGCGTATAAGTAACGAGTGAGTTGGATTTATTTATTTTACAATCAACTGCTCGGTGTATTGGATAACTTGCTTTATCCATAACTCATACATGGCGTAAGTTGTGTATACAGCGAGAACAAAAGTTGTTTTGAAACAAATAAAGCGATATATAAACTGATTAACTAGATAGAACGCAAATTAATATGTACGTATTGTAATTGCAATTAAATTGATTAAAATGCCGTAGAAACGGAAAATTTGTTTGTTTTTTCTTTATAATTAAGATAACGATATTTATATATGTATGGCCCTTATTATGAGTTGCATTCGATTTTCGATCTTCGCTGGTTATCGAAGATCGAAGATCGAATGTAAAATTGGTATTATGAGCTATGCAACCCTGTCGAAATTATCGTTGAGTATCGAATTTTCGGTCGAACAGAATTTTGCTTTCGATGCTGTAGCGTAGTGTGAGAAAATTGTTGAAAATGTAAGTATTTTGCGTTTGTTTTTTTATTTTTTAGCGTCTAAACGCTAATTTTAAACAATTTGTATTAACTTCATGCAGGTCTAAGGTCGTGAGTACTAAACAGCAACTCGAAAGGCTGGTTTCATTGNGAAGATCGAATGTAAAATTGGTATTATGAGCTATGCAACCCTGTCGAAATTTTCGTTGAGTATCGAATTTTCGGTCGAACAGAATTTTGCTTTCGATGCTGTAGCGTAGTGTGAGAAAATTGTTGAAAATGTAAGTATTTTGCGTTTGTTTTTTTATTTTTTAGCGTCTAAACGCTAATTTTAAACAATTTGTATTAACTTCATGCAGGTCTAAGGTCGTGAGTACTAAACAGCAACTCGAAAGGCTGGTTTCATTGATGGAAGAAAATCCTCAATTTGCGAAAGGGATTTGTACGAATGTAGTATTACAGCAAATACACCACTCTAATGCATTTACAAATATCGACCGCACACGATGTCAATGCCATCATGACCCACATAAGTCATAATGAACTCAGCGGGAATTCAACGCCATACGTTCAAAGGCACAGTTCAGTTTACACTTGCCAATTGCATTACTCAAGACAGGGCGACTGCCAAAATAACTATGACACATATGCTGAGTTAGCATAACATATGCACCTTTGTAGTTTGTAAGTATTAGTGTAAATTAGTGTAAGAAATCTTGTATAAAAGAAAGTAATTTCGAATAAAGAAATCAATTCTTGTTGCACGCTACATATAAGCGTTTCCTTCATTTACATGGCGATCCGGCCAGGCTTCGGTCGTTAGTCAGCGGAAAAACCGCTAAAAAGACCGCGCGCCACTGACTGTTATAACACCTTACAACGGCACTAAGTCTAATTTTTTGGTAACATACGGGCAAGATGATGAAGCTCCTGCTGTGATTCTATTCGCTCAAAACGTAGCTGCGAAATCTCCGGATGAACATCTTCTCATATATGGGCCCTTATTATGAGCTGCATTCGATTTTCGATCTTCGCTGGCTATCGAAGATCGAAAGTGAAATTCGTATTATGAGCTATGCAAGCGTGTCGAAATTTTCGTTGAGTATCGAATTTTCTGTGTTAGAAAATTGTGAAAAATGTATGATTTTGTATATGTTTTCTTACATTTTGGCGGCTAGACACTAATTTTAAACAATTTTTATTAATTTCATGCAGTTCTAACATCGTGAATACTAAACACAAGCTCGAAAAGCTGGTTTTACTTGTGAAAGAAAATCCCAATACTCTGAGAACAAAATCGTAGCGCTGTTGATAGTTTTAAAATATTTTAAATAGATTTGGCTCACAAACGCTTCTTTAGATGGCCGGAACTTTTTAATGAATCTGTAGACAAATTTCTTAAATATATTTTATATCAAAATATATTCGAAAGACTAATAAACTTAAACTCTCTTGAACATTTGCTACTCCTGGCCAGTTTACTAAGCTCTCATCCTCTGACGAATCGTTGAACCAGAACTCGTTGTACTCATTTTACCACGTTTTTATTAACTTGCTTTCTTTTTTACTTCATTTTAATTAGAACAAATTTACAATATGTATAAGCACACTATTTAGTTTGCTCGATTTGTAAACAAAGCTTCTCAGCGGTGAAAATATACTATTGTGAACAACCTAAACGGGCGAAATTCACAATAGCGCTATTCTTCATCGAATAAGCGCCATAATACCAAATGAAAATTCGTTCGCTCAGCACTTTCGACCACAGTCGAAAATCGAATGCAACTCATAATAGGGGCCATGATCTTGGGTTATCAAAGGATGATTCCAGAGCTTCGATAGCATAAAAGGGTGGAATATTTGAAGGAATCTGACTGGCAGCACAGCAACCAGACCCCTCCAAGGCAGCAAAGAAAAACAATTAAAATGGATAGTATAAATAAATTAATTTGTTTTTTGTTATTTTTTTGGCCTTTTTTAACAATTATATTCAACAATTTTATAATGAGCTCGAGGCCATTTTTTAAATGAAAATTTATTGTGGAAAAGCAACAATAATTTGAAAAAAT